GCTTATGAAATCTTACCTCCTAGCCTAAGATATTCCTTGCTACTAGAAGAGTGAAGATAGGATCCAATGGCTCTAAAAACAGAAGATGAAGACATCTCAACACAGATGAAGGCGGAAGTCATCCTTACCGAACTCGTCGATCAGGAAAGACTGGTCTCTCTAGACATGAAAGGCAGTCAGTACATGGGAAGAAACCCAGACAGAAAATCAAACTAGATGTGGAGCCTAAATAAGGTTTCTCACCATACATTTTGCCACACCATACGCTAGTTAGGTATATAGGGGACAATGCATTACTAGAAATTCTCAAGTAAAGAAAATACTTGAGACCGGAACAAACAGCTTGGTTTATTCCCTGAAGTTGATGATGATCCTTTCTAATAAACATATAACAGAAAAACAACGAAAATTAACAAAACAAACCCTTATTTTAAGAAAATAAAAAGAAACTATTAAATCACTGTTTTATTTATATTGAACTGTTGGGTGCATACTATAGATAAAAAAGGTTGAAATTTTGGAAAACTACAGAATTTCGAGGGCTACAAATTGTATTTAGCCCCTTTTATGATGATTTTAACATGAGATATTTTTAAAAATCGAAGGAATTTTTTTTTTAATTTTTCCGTCTTTTTTGCTGATTGTAAGGGTCAAAGTCCGAAAAATTCTCGAAACACATTTATCCTTTTATAAAATTGCAAGAATTATTGAAGTCAATATTCATAAATGTAATAAAATTTTTAAAAATTAAGCCTATATAAGAAGCTAAAAAACACGTTTATTTCATGATAAATTGATTTCAATCCGTCTAAAAAAAATGTTTACCGCTTCAAATACGATTTTTAACAAAAACTTTTGCCTGTCTTATTTTGCTTCCCCCTTTTAGTTCAGTCAATTGGTGCACAAAAGAGCCCGATCCAGGAAAAAATTCCTGGACATACTGTTACAATGAAATTTATTCTACCGCTTAGGAATATCACAGTACACAAATGATTAGGACTACATAACAGTACCCGCATTTTGACCTTGAGAATTTAGTACGGTGTGAAGCTCCCACGCGTTGCCAACAGAGCCTCCAGACGTCGTGGCATGGATTTAAACAGCGTTTCTATGCGTGACCACAAAGCATCAACAGGGGCTGCAGCAGGACGCCAGCCAGAACGAACAAGTTGCCGACCGATCATGTCCAAGACATATTCGATGGGCGACATGTCAGGCGAACGTGCGGGTCAGGGAAGCAGTGGTACCCGTCGTTCTTCGCAGAAAGCTTGCACATTCCTTGCCACATGCGGTCGGCCATTGTCATATGGCATGTGGATCTGGTTGTGGGAGAAGCAGTACCTCGGGCTGTAAAAAAGTCTTATTTTGTAGCGGTTTCTGTTCAGATTGCCCTCAATACGTATGAGGCGAGATCGCACACTGTAGCCAATGGCACCCCAAATCATAAAACTTCGCGTTTGTCCACTAGGGCGTGGAGTATTGCAGGCTGACATTGCGATCACCACGGTAGCCTCAAACACGTACGAGCCATCGTTGTAGCACAAATTGAAGCGGAACTCGTGCGTAAACACCACATTTGGCCACTTCAACACACCAGTGAACACCTTCACGTGCCCATAGTTGTCTGAGGCGTTGGTGGTTTTTGGTCAACGGAATCCGACGTACCGGTATGCGTGCCATTAGTGCAGCCCTCAACAGACCGTGTCGAACCGTCGACGCAGACATGACCACGCCGGTGGCAGAGTTCCGAAGTCGAGCCAATACTGTGCACGACGCCGTTCTGTCGGTTACGGTCATACGGACAAGATGGCGATCATCTCACGCAATGATAACATTATGTGGTCTAGTACCTGCCGGTCGCTGTGTACAATCCTCCTCTATCCACTGGTTCCACACACGCATCACTGACGTAGCAGCGCGCCCCGTTCGAGCCGCAATGCCACAGTAAGACAAACCCGCTTCCCGGAGACGGATCATTCTGCTCCGTTTGAACTCACTCAGATGCGGATAATGCGCCCTTTTGCGTCGACGAGGCACACTGGCACCTGCTTGCACGTTTCCACGTTGTTTAACAGCTGTACACCTACTAGGTGGGACACTGACCTGAACTGTCACACTAAAGTGGGCGCAGCTAGACCAACGTGCACGCCATATCTTTGCAAATTTAATCACTTCTTATGGATCCATTACTCTACACCTCCACCAATTTTAAGTGATTTCGACCATTCCTTCTCGGTATTGCCACTTTCACAAAGACCAGTGTATATGCTAGTTATTATTTGAATATCACATGAATGTGCATTTTCCTAGATTTAATTTAGGTGTAATTATTTTCCTGAAGGTAAATGTAGAAGCGTGAAATGTTAGCGCACGAATGTTCTTCATAAAAATATGTAATACTTTTTAAATGAGTCGGATTAGAGAAAAATGAAAAGTACGTGTCTCCTATTTTCAACCCTAGAACTCATAAAAATGTTCAAGTCGCTGTAAAAAGGTGATGTTTTATGAGTGTGCGATTTGAACTTCAAAGATTCATTTATGGTATTCTTTGACATTAAAAAGGCGAGTTCCTAATTTGTTAGTTTGGAATTGCGGGTACTTATGAGATGATATTTTCACATTGACTCTCTAAGGAGTTCTCAATTGATTATTTTTTACTTAGTTTTATTTTTGTGTCACTATTATATTTTAAGTAAATATGATACGAAAGCTTTTCGAAAATTGAGTTTTGAGACTGATTTTCATAATCACAATCTCTTTTGTAAGAAAGATTTTTTCGTAGCGAAATTTATTAATATACTTTTATTAAATTTGTTTATTCTGTATGTGTACTTGATTTATTCAATAAATTCCTCCATGACTTGCAATGAAAAGTAGATGTAAAAGTATGAACTGGGAAGTAAATTCTTCGACAGCGAAAAAACTGCCTCGCGATGGGGCGGGTGACATTGAAACCAGCGAATACACGAAGGTTAAGATCGAAATAAAACCGTTGATTTGTGTAACTCAAACATTCCAATTTATGCAAGAGAAAAAATTAAAAAAAGTAGAGTAAGTTATGCCCTTTCTTTCATTCAAAACAGCATTGAAATCGATTCAGCCGTTCGATACTACCTCGAACAGACGAAAACTATTTTTGTCTAACCTAAATAAGTGTGCGATATTATAAAAAGGCCGCTATTTTGAAATGACTGACAGACACTCCAATTTAATTTATATAGAAGTAAATATATTTTTCTAGATGGATATTAAGAAAAATGTTATACCTCCTGGATTGCTGCGGGACCCTGCTTTGCAGCACAATAATTGTGCTAATTATTAGCATATAGGATCAGATGTCCTTGAAACGATTACTATTAATAAAAAGAACCAGTAATTACTGATACCGATGGAAAACCGTCGGCAAGAAAAAAATAGCATGAACTCGCTAGCACGAAACTCGCCGAAACACGAACAAAATTTGGGTAGTATCAGCAAGGAAACATAGTAAGGATAATACTTGTATAATACGGATTTATTATAATACGAATATCTGTACTACTTATTTCCGTTGGCAACAGTTTTGAGGCGAAAAGGATATTTATTTCTTTGTGGTGACTGGTTCCATGATCCTCGTCCACGATAACTATAAATCATAATTCACCAATATCTAGAAGTTTTATTTTATATATTATCGCCATTTCCCTTATTTTTTCAAAAAATACGACGTAATTTTTGTTTTTTTCAAAAAAAAAATAAAATTGTGGCATAATATGCGAAGTGTGGCAATAGTGTGAAGTATTAAAAAATATTCGTGTTTTACATTTTTAAGGAAATAGAATTCATGTGTGGAGGACGTTTGGAAATTCGTATTCCATGACAATACGTTTTACGTCAACAATACATTTTACCGAACAAAGAAGGAGCGAAGTAATTGGACCGTATTTCTGCTTACTGCAACATTAGACGGAGCAGAAAAATAAATTAAAATCGTCAGATATTCCAATAGATTTCAACTTCACAGTGAAATTCATTCCATGTCTGAAAAATCTGGCAGAAATAGAAAAAGTAAGCTATCCACTTTATTACCCATTAAGTGTTCTTTTTTTTGCAACGAAACTGCAAGGTTAAAACATTTCAGTACATTTAGCTAATATTTAAAAGAGAATATCATAAATAGACCTGACATTACTGTACCTCATACAGTACAACCTATAAGGATGAAAATATTTTTTCAAGTGAATTTTTTTTTTCTTTTATGAAAACAAAACTTACTTTCAATGCAATATCTCTAAAGGTTGTGGGCTATTATATTAACTGGGCTATATTACTACTGGGCATAAGATACTATTCTCCTTCGTTATAGTTCTTGAAACATTGTTTTGTGATTCTTTAATATTTGCATTTTCATTTGCTGGCCTTCCCTTACTTTTTTATTTAATGAGTTACCACAGAAATTAAAAAAAAATAACTAACATATTTTTATTGAATATATTTCATTTGGGTATATTATTATTATTTGAATAAAATATATTCATATTTATAAAAAAATTAATTGCTAAAAGAAAACCAAAATTTGACCAAAAACTTATTTTATAAGTTTAAAAAAGTTAATATATATTCAAAAACAAATAACATAGAAAACTGGTTCCCATTGTATTTTAATTAGAAAGAATGAATTATTGATTTCCTACTATATTGGAGATATTTTCTTGAGTTCACATATAAGTGCTGTTAAAAGTCATACAGAATTTTATGGATGGTGTCACAAGCATCTCATATGGCTGCTCTTTGAATCTGATATTAATTCTTGTTTTTTGGAGTTGTTTTTGTGTTTAATCTGTGGTATTGGTTCCAAATCTTTTGTTAAAATAATCACTGGAACAATTTTACAATAGTATGTTTCCTGATTTCATGACATGATACTGCACATTTAAAATTTCTTGTTTTGTTTCCTGCGTGATAGTGAACAATGAAAATTACATTTAATTTCAGGATCTGTACCCACAAGTACATTAAAAATGAAGAGACTTAAAGCACCTGATTGTATGAGTAGTGAGGAAATATTAGAAGAAAACTGCTCCAAAAAAATAACAAAGGTTAAGAAACTAGTAACTACAAGTCAACCTATATTAAGAAACGATCAGAAAATTAAGCTTAATGCTCTTCTCTCAAATTGGAAGCCACCTTTGAAAAATAAACCTAATGAAAGTCACGATGTTTGTGACATGACAGATATTATGCAACAGAGTGAAATGAAAGTATTAAATTGTGAAGATACTCTAACTGAAACAAAACAGGTACAAAAAATATCACCTTCATATTTTGCAGAGTTAAAATTTAAACAAGTAGAAAGTTCTTTCAGTAAAGATAATTATCATGTAGATAGTCCTTTGGTTCAAAAATCTCCACAGCAACATCAAGGGTCATGTAATGCTCAACCTTCAACGTCTTCAGAAACTCCTAGTTATGAAACTCATATGATGAACACCACTTTTGATTTTAATGACCAAAAAACAAAAGATATTTTGGTATGTGATATCAATGCAAGTGAAGTAAAAATAAAGAATAAGAACTCTGATTCAGAGTCTCAAAAAAACTCTCCAAATGAAAAGGTAAACATCCCATATTGCAAAGCAAGTACTCCAGAAGTTGCAAGAACACCTCCAACCCCTCCAACCCTAAAAGTATCATTCTTAAATAGTAATGTGGGTTATGACTTATCTCCTGATAATTTTAAAAAATTAACACCTAATGAAGCTTGTGAAGAACAACGAAATTTGATTGAAAAGTCACCAAATAAGTCAAAAACGTACAATGAAGCAGAATTACTTAAAAATGAAAATGTAAATTCCAATAAACTTCCTACCAGGACAATGAAGTCAGAAGTATCAATTTTTACCAATTATCCTGCTTCAAATGCATGTAAGACTGAGCGTGAACATGTTTCAAATATATCGCACTCCCAGCTTGATTCAATAGAAAATAATCCATCAACATCGACTTCTCAACGAGAGTTGATGCAAGACATTAATTTTCCAAGAGAGGTGGCACAAGAACTTAATCCCTCAAGAGAATTGGCACAAGATAATCATCTCTCAAGAGAATTTGCACAAGATATTAAGAACTCTGATTTCATTCCGTTTCATCTCACAGCGCTTACCCCAAAAATGCCAAGAATAAATTGGGTTCGCCAACTACAAGAAGACAAACGGCAATTGCAAGTTGTTGTCAGAGAAATCTCCCAACTCAAGTATGTTTCTGTCCATTTTTTTTTTCTAATATATTATTCGGGAATGTTGCTTCTGATTCATGCAAAGTGTGTTTAGAGCACTATTAATACCTTCAATTTCATTATCATGAACAACTGGTGTTGGTCAATTTCATTATCATGAACACTGTGATAAATAAAAATCTTCTGTAGAGGATACACTAGCCATGGAAATGTATCCCCATTTTGTGAAAACAAAGGTTCTTGGTTTTTTTCCCTTGTAAGTGATATAAAAAAAAATCTTTCAAAATAATGATTCAGCTAGATATTTTAGAGGTCTAATTTTGAACTAATTATTATAATCTACATTCCAAATAATATAATTCTAAACGAAATAATGAGTTTTATATCGTATCTGCATAGTTTAATTAAACTAACTACAATTAATTTGCTGTTTTATTATCTACCTTCAAAAGTAGTCTTAAAGTAGTCATAACACATGATTGATAATATTTCACCTCCAAAACTAAAGAATAGAGTCCCAAGTGGTGTTCGGGACACCCCAGCTACAATAAGGTTGCTTTCCAGGAAAGTTGGCTGAGGCAAATTTTATAGTTTTAACAAAAGTGATTTGGATTGCCTTCCTGGAAAAGTTACACAAAGGCACAAGCATGAATGCAAGCTACACGAGTGTTCTTCAAAATGTGGTTTTCATTAAGCCAGGGTGTTGGAGCCACCCGTGAACAGCTGCCTCAGGATTAAAAATTAATTAGATTTCAAAAATTTCCTATTAAAAAAAAATAAAAATAAAAAACCTGCAATGTTACATTTCTGAATGAATATCTTTTTATTTTTCTATTTTCAGTGCAATGCTGACCAGAGCAATTCGAGAGATTTGGCCAGCAAGACCTCTACATTAATGTTCTCCTTCACCTGAGGAATTTTTTGTTGAAGAAAAGTTGAATATTTAGAACCTTTGTTATTCAGAACTGTAGGAAATTCAGTTGCTATTTTATAAGAACAGCCTCAATTTTTTTCTGTTGAAACACTTCTGTATACATACATAAACTGAGCATTGTATATTGTGAAGTTTCATCACTTTGTACTTTCATTCGGTACAAAATATTTCCCATTTATGTTACTTATTGTTCATAATGTTTGCAAGTCTTAACTTTGTCCTTAGTAGACCCTCTTCTTGCCTGTAAGAATTGGTTTTGGAACAGAAAATACAACAATCTTTATGAAATGAAACAGGTGTCATTTATTTTGGTTATCTCTCTCTTCAAAAAGGTTCCATTTCAGGGTGAATCATATCTTTGGGGTAGTAGACCAGTCAATAAGATCATAAATGACAATACCAATTCAGGAGTAGTGTTCAGTATTTAAAACAAAGGAATGGAAAACACGGCAATTAAATGGCAGTTTATTTTAATTTAATTTCCAGGCAGAATACGTGTTTGCAATGAAAATATGTAAGTTACAATAAAATTTCTGAATTATTTCTCTTTAGAGTCAATTTGTCATAACAGTTAAATAGGCATTAGTGTGTATGTGATCTCATTCTTATTCATTGGTCTAATTCCTACAGAATTTCTAAATTTCCTGAAAACGATACTTTTAAGTAATCTTTATCTGGTAGTTGGTGCTGTGTGATGTGGAAGATGTTGAGCTGGACAAAATGGGAAATTGAAGGAATTTTGACTCTGAGAGAGAAGTACCTGCCACAAGATACAGATATTAAAAGATATTCTACCTCAAAATCATATTTTTGTGACCAACTTGATAATTAGGACTCTGTTAAGAATCACTCTGGAATGTTCTTATTCTCCATGTTAGTATGTCCATCTAGACAAGATCTACCTTGTAGCCTTAAAAGTGCCACTCAGAATCGGGCCTATTCATTGTCAAGATAATACCTTATGGACAGCTGCATTTAAAGGTATTGTTACACTTGAACCTGAAGTTTACTGTCAGTCATATTTCTTACTCTGATGAGAAATTCTCTCTGGATATCATAGATCATGCTTTACAACTTACTAATTTCTCACTCACATGAGTTACTCATTAATGTTAATTTAATTTTTATTAAGTTGGACCTTATTTAGTCTAAGTAATGTAATAGAATATGTTATGAAACTTTGAACACAACTTGAATAGATCAGTTTAGGATCTTGGTTTTGTTTTAACTTGAAGGATTGCTGAAAATTAATGATTTCATTGTAATAATTCAAATATAGAATTAAATTGTGGCCATATGAAAATTTTATTTAAAGTTTTCTCAGCCCAGGGTAGCTTAAGTACAACAATGAATTCCATGAAAGTTGAATAAAACTGAATTCGCACGCATTTTTAATTTCTTGTACACTTCATGAAGAGAAATTCCCTATTGCATGGAAAATATGTTTTGTGTGTCCCTGGTACCAAAAAAGGGTATTTTTCTTTCTTCTATATGTGATTATTTTCTTATATACGTTATAGGTCTAATATGTATAGTCAAAGTACACATTTTGGAAATCCTTGATAACAAAAAAGTATTATTTATTTTTTTCTCTTTCTTTCTATTTTCAAAATATCTGACTGTCTATTTTTCCATTCCTCCTTTTGTGAACAATATTAGCTACTAAATCACACAAAGAATTTTCATCAATGAGAACACTATAATATACAAAATCATTTGTCATAAATGTCTGAGGGATGTTGTAGTCCCTTGAATTTGAAATAGATCTTGAGAGTACTTTGTATCAAGCACTTAGTGGCTGTTCATAAATTACTTAATGCCAAAGAGGGGGAGAGGGGGATTTGAGGGTCATTAATAAGATATAGACTAATTAATTTGTTTTAAAACATAAATAAATTACATTTTTGAGATGTAAATTGTTACAAGAATTGAAAATATATTTTCATCAATTTTTTATTGAATCTGTAATATTACAAAGAAAATATTCAAAACTGATATGTATTTATTATAAAATCCATTTAAATTGATGCAGTATTCTCTCTCCCATGTGTCATCCACAACGGCAGTGTGTGCATGGCTTGTGATAAAAAACGTTCTTGCATCTGCATCCTTCCTGCACTCATAACTTGCCCCTATCTTATTGTTAGGTGCAGTCAGCATAACCAAATAATTCTGGCTTTCATAATCATAAATTGTAATAATGATAGATGATGATCATCATCATAATGATAATGATGATGCTAATAATACCAATAACAGTAATAATACGTATCAATTCTGTTAGCAACTACATAAAATTTAACAATATTAGTACATTCTATACTTAAAACTTGAAATGGTGAGGAGGAGGCAAGTTTTGACCAGTTTTTTTCTTTTTTCTTCTTACAAATTTGTACACGTAGTCCTACTGCAGCACCTAATGTGTCTAGAGAGATCCTTTTCCAAATCTACAGAGAAACTTTTTTTCTTCTTCTTTTTCTTTCTTTTTTTCTTTTTTCTTTTTCCTTTTTTCTTTCTTTTCTCCTTTTCTTTTCTTTTCTTTTTTTTTTCCTTTGCTTTAGCTCAAAACAACATGAAACAGAAAGTCTAATGGGATACAAAATTCTTATTCATTTATATTTTTTAAGGGAAATGTAATTTGAATACTCCTTTACACTGTAGAACATGTTAAGCAGGAAAGCTTTCAATTTATTTTTAAATGTATGAATTGAGTTTATGTCTTTAATATCATTGCCAAGTTTGTTGTAAAGTGTAATCTATTAGGGTACTTTTTTGATAAAGTGTAGTTTCAGAGTGGGGAACATGTAGGTTATCCTTTTGACGGGTGTGGTAGTTGTGTACATCGGAATTTAATGTAAAAGTGTCTTTGTTTTCCATGAGAATTTTCTTTGTGAAGTCAACTGTTTCAAATATGTACATACATGGTAGAGGAAGAATCCTTAGTTTATTGAACAAGGGTTTGCAAGACTCCAGCTTATGAGTGCTGGTCATTGTTCGCAATATTCTTTTTTGGATAATAAATGTGCGACTGCTTTCAGGGGCATTTCCCCAGAATATTATTCCATATTTTAGGTGTGAGTGCACATTTGCAAAATACATTGTTCGAAGTGTCTCAATGTTGAAGCTTGATCTGAGAGTGTATAGGACATAGCAAGATTTGGTAAGCTTCTTGTTAAGATTTGAGATGTGAGCATTCCATTTTAGGTTTTCTTGAATTGTTAGACTGAGGAAGGTAGTTTCATGAAGATATCATTACAGGGTTATTGTTTATGAGCAAATGCTGTGAGAGTTTTACTTTAGATCGGGGATTCATGAAATTTAGAGAGACTCTCTTGCTGGTGTTTATGATGAGTTTGTTGTCTTGAAACCATTTTACTAGTGCTTGCAAAGTTTTGTGAGTTTCTTTTTCTAATGATTGTTGTGTTTTTGCTTTGATGATTATGTTTCTGTCATCTGCAAACAAAATTATTTTGTTATTCCTTAAAGTTAAAGGCATGTCATTTATGTATATAAGGAATAGTATTGGCCTGAGGTTGGAACCTTTGCGGGACTCCACAATTTATCATTTGAGGGCAGGAGTAGTATAAGGAGATTTTGTTTTCTTTAGTGCTGGAGGGAAACTATTTGGCTACAGTTTGATAAATATGATTTGATCCATTGGCTCTGCAATGCCTTGAATCCTTAGCATTTCTAGTTTTCTTAAAAGAATGTGACGGTTAATAATGTCAAAGGCTTTTGACAAGTCTAAGAAAAGGTCAATGGGCATTTCCTTCTAATTTAGTGCAACAAGTATGTCATTTAAAAAGGAGAAGATGGCTGTGTCTGTGGATCTATTACTCCTGAAGCCATGTTGTGCATTTGTAAGGTCATTATTTGCATTGAGAAACTAAGTCTATCATTGAAAAGCCTCTCCAGAATTTTTGAAAATCCTGATAACAGGGAGATAGGTCTGTAGTTCATTGGATCATAACTATTGCCCTTTTTAAACATTGGTTTAATTTTTGCTGTTTTGAATATATCTGGGAATATACCTAATTTTAGAAAGTAATTGCAGATGTGAGAGAGTGGTTGCACTGTACATGGAGCACTGTGTTTAATAAGAAAATCTGGAATGTTGTTCATGCCTGCTGAGAATTTATTCTCCATTGTCCAATGATTATAAAAATTTCAGAGGGGGTGGTTTCATATAAAAATATGGAATTTACAATTTGTGTAATATTAGTGTTTGGTTGGTGTGTATTATTGTATAGTGAGTGTTGAGAGATTAACTTATTACTAATTTGTGAAAAGTGTTCATTGAATATATCAGCTATTTCTTGTGGGTCTTGTACAGTTTGGTTTTTGTAGTGGAGCGCTATATTTTTTCTGTTATTATTAGTTGGTGCTGTAGTCTTTTTAATAATGTCCCACATACCTTTTGTTTTATTACGTGCATTTGCAATGTACTTATCATTTGTCATAATTTTTGCATGTTTCATTACTTTTTTTAGGATCAAATGATATGTTTTATAATATGACATGAAGTTCGAGTTACATTTGTTATTTGTTAGTATTTTATACATGTTGCGTTTACACGTTGCGTTGCATACACAACACATTATTCAGGGGGGTTCAAGCGCACATTAAGGGTGTGTTACATGGGGGAGAGGAAGTATTGAAAATACTCCAAATTTACATTACGTAATTTATGGGTGGTCCCCTATCATTATCAATTTTTCGTCAAAAAGGCTCAAATGCTTTCCTTTTTTTGCTTTTCTCAAGTAGAACAACGTATGCCTATAAAACTGGTGAAGGTCCAATTTTCAATTAAACATCTGAAATTTTTAAAATCACAAAATTTAAAACTTTTTTTGGAACCCTCTTCAACTACATTATTGTAGATAGATTTTTTCTTCATCAGATTTGTTCATCAAAATCAGCTCTCTAAATAATATCTAGCATTTTTCATAATATGAATAATTTTTGGAGTAACTTTTAATGAAAATGTAATAATTTTTAAAACCTTAAAAAAGGCTCCCCATATTTTCTGTCAATTCTTTTGTCCACATAGAGCAAATATGGTTTAATAATATTGCATCTGATTTTCATTAAAAATATCTAAATTCTGACAGAAAAAGGTTTTTCAAAATTGATGCGTCTGCAGCAGGGCCGATTTAGGTACTGGGTAGCTCCCTCCGGAAAAAATCCTTTAGGTTTATTAAAAAAAAATACTTATTATAAAAATAAATTTTTAGTATTAATACAAATGATAATAAACAAATTGCTTACAGATTTAAACTTACATTTTTGAATTTAAATACATTTTAAATTTATTATCTACAAATATATGTTTAGTTTTCGACGTACTTTTCGGAGATCAAAAGATCCATCAGCACTTTACCCCAACAGCTGTCCGAATAGTTTTGTTGAAGTGAAGTCTC